TGCGAATAGTCTGTAAGCAAGCTATCTCAGACTTCAACCCGGCAAGTATCAATATTCAACGTCGATTAATAGAAAGATAATAAAATATGGATAGTATATGCTTAAGTATCAAAAGGAATTCGCAATAATTTTATTTCCTTGGATAAGAACAAATCCGTGGATTATTAGATCAATTATTTTCAAACAATGTATCGAACCGAACAACAAACTTACAACATGAGCTTTTTGATGAATCCGGCTGTGCAACACGAACCGGCGAAAATAAAATCTACGCTAACCCACATTTGTCTTGTTGTTATGGCAAGCCATCCAGAAAATGCAACAATTATAAATGAGCAATGATAAAAATTTGTGAACGACCCTTTATGATATAGTTGATGACACATTACATGCGTTTTACCATTAGTTGTTCTTCCCACCATGCTATATGTGATATTTTTATCCTAACTAATTATTTCTTGAACGCTTTGCACTGTTTCTCAATGTCTGAGCTTGCGCTTGTAGTACCCGGACAATATGAGAAAGCACATCTTTTGCATCTTGCGTATTGCTGAATGTTGCGCTACCAAGCCCAGAATTGTATTCCGCAGTGATTTCAACTTTTTGAGATCCCAATGGACCAGTCACACGGATGAAGCGCCAAAGGATTCCAGTAGTTACAATACCAAATATTACGGGAGAATTCTCGAAATCAGTTTCATCGAGTTTTCGTTTGCCTAATCGCTGAATTTCCTAGATATTAGAAGACAATCTTTAGTATTATCCGTTTAAGGAATGCCAAGCTTAAAGATAAAATGAAGACATTACCTCAACTGCACTGTAAATCTGTATCAGATTTTTGGCGACACCCTTCTCCATTTCTGACATTTTAGCTTCAGTCACTAAGGTCAAAAGGTATTGTATAAAGTTTCCATAATCCACACTGCCATATCCACGGGTCCCATCGAGGTCAACTTCTACCGCTAATCGTGTCGTGTTGTCATTGTTTTTTCTGACATGACTAGTTGCCCATGTCATAAAGATGGAAATGAATTCACGGGCTGTGGCCTCGTTGGTGGTAACCGCTTGGAATGCAAGCAACTTCTGTTTGAGTTGATTGATAAAGCTTTCCAAATCTTCACTAGTCAGGGGTGGAGACGATTCTGGAAGATCATCTATGGAGAATTTCGCCATCGTTTCACTAGACTTAAATGCATCATTGTAAAGTTTGGCAACCTCGCTCATTTTCCACTCCTCGTACGCCTTTTGGCCTTTTATTTGAACTTTGAGGTCGAGAATATGCTCGGTTTGATCGTTTGGCTTGGTATTATTCACAATGATGTTGAAATGAAGTTCACTGTCAATTTTCTTTTTCAACTTGCCCTGAGTATATTCAAAATAGAGGTCGTTCGTTGATATCTTCTCTAATCTGTCAAACTCTGCTTTTACGGCATCTCGTAATAAACTCAGAGAACCACTAGAATGTGGAATTACACATTCGGCCATGGTGCGGTAAAACCTGAGATTCACTTTAACTGTGGAGAAGACAAATGGGTACTAGGCATTATAGGAAAAGGAAACGTAGGAAAAAACGTTGTTGCTTACTACTAAAATTTGAGAGTGGGTACCGAACAAGAACTTCGGTTGAACTTTTGATATCTAGGGATTCGAGGGTGGTTTTCGCTGGTATAAATATTGTATCAGGGAATGTGAAAAGCTCGATATCGCGTTCTTGAATATCTTTAAGGATTTCGATCCTCTTGCGAAGAAGAGTCTTGAGGTTGTGTACGTTTGGATTATTATTTTGATAATCAGATTTTTCGACGACGACCTCTTCAAAGTCTGGTTTTCCCTCAAGTTTTACCCACATTGTTATTACCGGGTTTGAGGAATTTGGCCGTTCTATATACTTTGGAGAAGTGCAATATAAAGCTTGAGGTGATTGTTTGAAATGACTAAGATAGACACGGTTCGCGTAAGCTTGCCTTTGTTGTCGGACATTTTTATGTCACTGTAGATAATATTAGAAATTATGAGTCGGAATTTGTCTGAGATTTTTCAGCTGAAATTACTCATATTTACTACGATGAATATTCGACAAATACTCATACTAATATGCGGAGGATACTGCGTTAGAAATAAATTCCTAGAGCTGATGTCCTACTCAAGACAAATAGCGTATACTTTTGCGAAAAAAAAAAACGATTACCCAATCGCCAGCCTCCTGCTAATGATCCATCCAATTAGAATAATTAAAAAAACGGAAGATTATTAACCAATCGGGTTCGTGGAACATACATAGCCGAAAGATAGTTGGTTTATTGATAATGCGTCGTTCTATATCTGAGATCGTTACATAATCTATTTCGGGTGTTAAATCTATTTCGGGATGACTATTTTAGGTGTATAGTTTATTTTTCCAGTATGCGACAGTCTATCATGTGCCCGATAGATAATGCGTAACGATTATCTGAAAAATTTGATCACACATATCACACAAAGTATATAATAATTCAGCCACCAGGGCCACCTTTATTGATACGATATAAATTATACGATAAATACGGGATAGAAATATGGATTATTCTAGAAATTTGAGACCTTTTTCTTGTTTAATATACCAACTTCACGTGGAGGGGGGCTTATATCACTCGTTTTTCTCGATCTTTTTTGAAAACTGTTCACAATACTCTGTAAATTGACAATAATCCCATTCTGAGATTGTAGATCATTTTGTGTAAGTAACTAGTGGGTAGCATAGGAAAAAGGAGAGCTGTAAGTAAAAACAATTTATTTGTTGAAATACTTACCACCCATTTGATTATCAATCAATGTCAATGGCATATATTGATATGATATGCAGTTCACAGTTATTTAATGTGGACATCAATTTCGTGTTGTTCCTTAGATGAAACAGGTGTTGATTGAACGTGGATTGTGGAAAGGTGGATTAAGTGCCGACTGTAAATTATGCAAGGATATTGTTGATGATATAAACCGGACAGACTGTTGCGCACGGCAAATCGTTTCATTACAGCCAGATTTTTTATCACAAAAAAGCACGTTAGAAGAAGCCATACTCCGTTCGGCCAAGCGGTTATATAAACAGAGGCTGCCTCCTCTCCATCAACTTATCTTCTTCAAGATACACTTAATAGTGAACAACTATTGCGAGTAACACAATACCATCTAACCAACACACTACTACTTAACAACAAAACGCAACAACAACAACATTAAGAATGAAGGCCAATGGACTCGCAGAACTTACCGGAGCAGGCCCACATTGTCTTCGATGACACAGTGAATATGAACAATGGGAAACACAGGAAGGAAGAATACTCAAACCAGAATGGATATATTACTTACCTTTCCTTAGCCAATGAGGTACCAACACCAAACTTAACTGAGCAGATGATGTCCAATACCAATTATTAGGTACAACCATCATTTCCAAATGTCCTATCATGATGTCCTACATATGAACTGAACAGTGGTCCACTGAAGCCCAATGGAGAATGGATGATTTCCTCTGGTATGCTCAACAACAACCAGACGGATGGAGTTGTATGATCCAATCATTCCAGGATCTACATCCTATATTTATTGTCATCTCCTTCCATCATTTGTCTTATTGGATTTTATATAAAAGAACATGCCTGCCTGCCATGTTATTCTTCTGCAATATCACCAGAGCCTGACAATAGAAATGATTGACCAGGACAGACGGCAATGATGACGAAATCCACAGAATGGCCTTGCAATTTGTATATGGCTAAAAGATATACACAACAACATTGCAATCACACTTGGAACAGTTTAAAAGAAACTCTTCCATCTGCATTTGATTCTATTTCTCTACAGACAATATGAAAATATGCACTAAGGTCCAAACGATTTATGGATTGCTATAGGAAGGAATTGGAGGGACAACAGGCAGAATTTGCCATTAAAAAATATAAGTGTCATAGAATTGAATAAAATAAATATAGTTGATCATTGACATTTTTAGTAATGATTTCCCCTTGAAAATTGAAACAATTTGATGTGTACTTGTGTCCTCCACCATATGCTATAATTAACCTATATTAATTATCCTTCTAGAAATAGTCAAAAGAGTGCTGCGTTTTTTCTGCGATGCTCGAAGATATACAGTGTGTTAAGAAAAAAATGGTGGTGACGAAAAATTGTATATCTCAATGATTACAAATGTAAATTAAACAA